CCTCGGCAATTGGTGTGCCTGTCATGATCATGGCTGTGACCAAAGTGGCAGACAATGGTAAGACTGCAAGTGCATGTTCTTTACCTCTTGGTAATATTTTAAGATGATTTCTGAATTAATTTATATTGTTTCAAAAATAAGGCTGAATATGTATGGTTACTGAGTGCTGGTTGAAGTGGTGGAGAACAAAGGTAATTCTGCATTCATTTGAATAATTTGCATCTATCAGGCAAACCTTGTGGTCCTTTAGTTGGAAATGAAACTGTACACAAGGAAATGCAACAATAGCGGCAACTGATTCTGAATCAATACTCTGAACTGTCCATTGTGTATTCTAAGAGCAAGAAGAAGAGCCTCTGAAGCATCTACACTACTTGATACAAAAACTGTCTAATGAAACCTAAGGTAATATGTTCCAGGAGACAGATTCTGTAGTTGAGGGTAGGTCCTTTTGAACTGCTTTTCCAGATGTCTTCTTTTGTTTGGTGCCACAAAGTAAGTCTAAGATTGCATGAGGATTACTCATTTTTCCAAATAAATGTATTTGGTAATGAAGTCACAGCCTTCTCTGATAACCTTTAGCACATCTTTGAAGGAACATAATGTAGAAAAAAAACAACTATGTATCGCTGAAATACTATTGCCGAAATATAGTTGCCGGTATAGGAGGTAGTGTGCCCTTTATTTAGCAAAGTGTGTAATCCTCAGTTGTGTAATCCTACAAGAGACTTCACAGTGTGTTCCAAAAATCACATATCTGCTGCCCAAGGCAATTAAAATTTTAAAAAGTCATCTAACAGTCATTTAGCAGTGACAGCTGAGAAGTTGTGTCTGACAGGATGCATTGAAGTGATAAGTTTAAGGTAGTTTAAGGTATTTTAAATGTGACGTCATTAGCCGTGTCTGGGCCCAAACTCCGCTGCAGGTCCATAAGCCAAACGATCACTGCTGCATCACTGAGAGTTAAAAACTGTCTAAATTCTTTCATCTGTAATAAAATGATCATTGTGCTGCTACCAGGTGTAACAATTAAGTTTAACATCCAGGCATCCATGAAAACAGAATTTATAATTTAACGGAGTTAGAAGTTAGCAGGAAGTTAGCTCGCTAGTTTCCATCTAAATATAATATAGCCATGTTCTGACTGAGAGATTTCTGAAACAAATTAAGACGTACAGCTCTGCTATCACTTCCGACATAAATGAAGACAGGAAAGTAAACAGCAGTGACGTTTGTAGGGTTACTTTAGTTTGGCTAGCTGATTTAAAACGATGTGCTACGTGATCGCTAGCGACACAGCTATGTTAGCTTAATATAAACAGTGAAGGTGGAGGATGAATGCTAACTTTTTTCCACTCAATAAATGTTAACGTGAGGGTGAGAGAACAACTGAGATAATCCATCCACAATACGAGGTTAGTCATTAATATACTGCTGCATGGGCTGGGCTTTTAAGTTCCAGATGCAGTTTAAAAACTGATGCTAAAATGAACAGTGATAATAAACACAAGAGAGGCTGACAGTGATCACTGCCTGTTTTTAGGGGCTTGTTGAGATTAAATAGAACAAGATACAAATCATTAAAACATGTTAAAAACACAACAGCCTTATTAAATGCAGAGTAGTTTGGGCCCTGAAGCTGGATTCATCAATTATAGACCGAATAGTGTGTTCCTGAGGTGTTCAGAGCCCATTTTATATAAAGTGAAGAGCACTGGTCCTGACCAAGCATTAACAGTTGGCACTGAAAAATAAAGCACTTCCACTTTCCATATGAGGAAGTTACATTTACATAGAGTGAAAGAGCTATTCCAAATATGCACCTTGCTAACCCAAACTAAAGCAAGAAAAGCATAGAAAATACCATTAATGATTCTAACTTGTGATTTTGTAATATCTAATAATTACCACCAAAACAGTTTATTCTCCCACAGAATCAGCTAAATTGATTATACTAGTATTAATTGGAATTTTTCTTTGCTATCTGCCTGAAGCTAATTTGGTATTTGTTCAGTTAGCTCTTGATGGCTTATAGACAATATGATAATGTCTGTGAATTCTCTGAAGATCAGTCTCTGCTTTGCCAAAGATTGTCCTCAGTTCCAAAAAGTAAGGACAATCAGGGATGAAGCATAACACATTTTATAGCCCTATAAAGTCAATACAAAATGTGGGTGGAGGAGACGCTTCCTCTCTCATCTAACACTCAGTCTTGCAACGAGCTGCCTGAAAATCAGTACATAAAATTACAGCTTAATCAGTTGTATTGTTAGAGTATAGCTGTTGGCCATTATGAGGTATGTCCCACTATGATGTGCAATAGAGTGATAATGAGGTGATCTTTTTATCAGACAGTTTGGAGAAACTGCTGTATCTCTGCACCCTAGCTGATGTTTCTGTGAAAGACTCAGAGGGGTGAAACAATGTTTGTCTTTGTGCCGCACTAATAGCTATGTGTTGACTGGCTGCTGCATGGTTTGAAGGATCAGCAGTGACTTTATATGACTTTAGCACACAACAAGGTGAGCCTTGAGCTGCTAACTCTGTAGCTACAGACTGCGAGAAACCCAATAACACATACAGGAGCCTAAATAAAATAAGATGTGAACCCAAGGATAAAGTTTGGATTTGCTGTAACTCTGTTTCACCCCTCTGAGTCTTTCACAGAAACATCAGCTAGGGTGCAGAGATACAGCAGTTTCTCCAAACTGTCTGATAAAAAGATCACCTCATTATCACTCTATTGCACATCATAGTGGGACATACCTCATAATGGCCAACAGCTATACTCTAACAATACAACTGATTAAGCTGTAATTTTATGTACTGATTTTCAGGCAGCTCGTTGCAAGACTGAGTGTTAGATGAGAGAGGAAGCGTCTCCTCCACCCACATTTTGTATTGACTTTATAGGGCTATAAAATGTGTTATGCTTCATCCCTGATTGTCCTTACTTTTTGGAACTGAGGACAATCTTTGGCAAAGCAGAGACTGATCTTCAGAGAATTCACAGACATTATCATATTGTCTATAAGCCATCAAGAGCTAACTGAACAAATACCAAATTAGCTTCAGGCAGATAGCAAAGAAAAATTCCAATTAATACTAGTATAATCAATTTAGCTGATTCTGTGGGAGAATAAACTGTTTTGGTGGTAATTATTAGATATTACAAAATCACAAGTTAGAATCATTAATGGTATTTTCTATGCTTTTCTTGCTTTAGTTTGGGTTAGCAAGGTGCATATTTGGAATAGCTCTTTCACTCTATGTAAATGTAACTTCCTCATATGGAAAGTGGAAGTGCTTTATTTTTCAGTGCCAACTGTTAATGCTTGGTCAGGACCAGTGCTCTTCACTTTATATAAAATGGGCTCTGAACACCTCAGGAACACACTATTCGGTCTATAATTGATGAATCCAGCTTCAGGGCCCAAACTACTCTGCATTTAATAAGGCTGTTGTGTTTTTAACATGTTTTAATGATTTGTATCTTGTTCTATTTAATCTCAACAAGCCCCTAAAAACAGTCAGTGATCACTGTCAGCCTCTCTTGGTTTTTATTCACTGTTCATTTTAAAGCTCAGTTTTTAAAAACTTAAAAGCCCAGCCCATGCAGCAGTATATTAATGACTAACCTCGTATTGTGGATGGATTATCTCAGTTGTTCTCTCACCCTCACGTTAACATTTATTGAGTGGAAAAAAGTTAGCATTCATCCTCCACCTTCACTGTTTATATTAAGCTAACATAGCTGTGTCGCTAGCGATCACGTAGCACATCGTTTTAAATCAGCTAGCCAAACTAAAGTAACCCTACAAACGTCACTGCTGTTTACTTTCCTGTCTTCATTTATGTCGGAAGTGATAGCAGAGCTGTACGTCTTAATTTGTTTTAGAAATTTCTCAGTCAGGACGGGCTATATTATATTTAGATGGAAACTAGTGACCTAACTCCTTGCTAACTTCTAACTCCGTTAAGTTTAATAAATTCCGTTTTCGTGGATGCCTGGATGCTAAACTTAATTGTTACATCTGGTAGAGCAGCCACAATGATTATTTTATTACAGATGAAAGAATTTAAACAGTTTTTAACTCTCAGTGATGCAGCAGTGATCGTTTGGCTTATGGACCTGCAGCGGAGTTTGGGCCCAGACACGGCTAATGACGTCACATTTAAAATACCTTAAACTACCTTAAACTTATCACTTCAATGCATCCTGTCAGACACAACTTCTCAGCTGTCACTGCTAAATGACTGTTAGATGACTTTTTAAAATTTTAATTGCCTTGGGCAGCAGATATGTGATTTTTGGAACACACTGTGAAGTCTCTTGTAGGATTACACAACTGAGGATTACACACTTTGCTAAATAAAGGGCACACTACCTCCTATACCGGCAACTATATTTCGGCAATAGTATTTCAGCGATACATAGTTGTTTTTTTTCTACATTATGTTCCTTCAAAGATGTGCTAAAGGTTATCAGAGAAGGCTGTGACTTCATTACCAAATACATTTATTTGGAAAAATGAGTAATCCTCATGCAATCTTAGACTTACTTTGTGGCACCAAACAAAAGAAGACATCTGGAAAAGCAGTTCAAAAGGACCTACCCTCAACTACAGAATCTGTCTCCTGGAACATATTACCTTAGGTTTCATTAGACAGTTTTTGTATCAAGTAGTGTAGATGCTTCAGAGGCTCTTCTTCTTGCTCTTAGAATACACAATGGACAGTTCAGAGTATTGATTCAGAATCAGTTGCCGCTATTGTTGCATTTCCTTGTGTACAGTTTCATTTCCAACTAAAGGACCACAAGGTTTGCCTGATAGATGCAAATTATTCAAATGAATGCAGAATTACCTTTGTTCTCCACCACTTCAACCAGCACTCAGTAACCATACATATTCAGCCTTATTTTTGAAACAATATAAATTAATTCAGAAATCATCTTAAAATATTACCAAGAGGTAAAGAACATGCACTTGCAGTCTTACCATTGTCTGCCACTTTGGTCACAGCCATGATCATGACAGGCACACCAATTGCAGAGGACAGGACCCAGATGAGTATGTTGATCAACTTGGCCTTGACAGGCGTCCGAAACTCCAGCGCCCTGACTGGGTGGCACACGGCGATGTAGCGATCTACACTCATCATTGTGAGGGTGAAGATACTTGTGAACATGTTGTAGTAGTCGATGGCAATAATGAGCTTGCAGAGGACATCCCCAAATGGCCAGGTGTTCATGAGGTATTTGGCGCTCTGGAAGGGCAGCGTGCTGGTGGCCAAGGCATCGGCAAGAGCTAGATTGAAGATGTAGATATTTGTGGCAGTGTTCATCTTGGTGTATCTGGTTGTGGTCACAAAGTAGACAGAAGGTGTAGTAAAAGTTAAAAAGAAACTGATATTTTTTAACGATTTTTTTCCCAGTCAAAAACAGGTTATTTCAGATCATCTCACAGTTGCCTCCCTGGTCCAGTCTACTTGCAGCTGCTGTTGAACTGAAAATCATATAGTTATTTGGGTATAATTTATTAGCTTGTTGGAGAGAGAAATAGTGGATGTAGAGAATAGATGACATAAAGGCCCATGAATTGACATTTGAATAGAAAAAAATTGTCATTTGTGTTACTGGTGCATTTTTGTCCATCCATCCATCCATCCATCTTCATCCGCTTTGTCCGGGGCCGGGTCGCGGGGGCAGCAGCCTAAGCAAAGAGGCCCAGACCTCCCTCTCCCCAGCCACCTCCTCCAGCTTATCCGGGGGAATACCAAGGCGTTCCCAGGCCAGCCGAGAGATATAATCTCTCCAGCGTGTCCTGGGTCTGCCCCGGGGCCTCCTCCCGGTGGGACATGCCTGGAACACCTCACCCAGGAGGCGCCCAGGGGGCATCCTTGTCAGATGCCCGAACCACCTCAGCTGGCTCCTTTCGATGTGGAGCAGCAGCTGCTCTACTCTGAGCCCCTCCCGGATGGCCGAACTTCTCACCCTATCTCTAAGGGAGAGGCCAGCCACCCTTCGGAGGAAGCTCATTTCTGCCGCTTGTATCCGCGATCTCGTTCTTTCGGTCACTACCTTTCTTAATAATAATAATAATAATAATAATAATAATAATAATAATAATAATGTATGCTTTATTCATCCTCGTGGGGAAATTACTTTCTCTGCATTTGACCCATTCACTCAGTGAAGCAGTGGGCAGCCACTAAGCAGGCGCCCGGGGAGCAGTGTGTAGGGACGGTACCTTGCTCAGGGGTACCTCAGGGTAGCCGTTCAGTGGATTTGAACATCCAAACTTCCGATCATGGGGCGACCATTCTACCAACTGAGCTTCATCAGGGAAAATGGATATTTCAATTATTCTGTTACCTACTTTAGATCCATTTTACCTCTATTCATTTTCATAAAGTTATTATAGAAATAATTAGATATAATTCCATGTTGGAATTGATTACAAACAAAGGCTTAGTTTAATTTATGACTGCACTGCCTTGCTAATTTCCAGATTACCAAATCCCAAAAATAAACTACAAGTTAATTGCTTTTCTCCTCAGATCCAAAGTTAAATTAAGAACTGAAACCAAGGATTCAAAGCAAACACTAGAACAGCAACTCATTCAAACTCCATAAACCCAAAACAGTCACTGCAACTCAAACACAACAAGTAACAAGTGTCTGGAATATTAATGACATTTAATTAGGGGTCAAAACCTCATCATTAACAATAATTAAAGGCTAGGAGCGTAATTAATAATAATAATAATTAATAAGTTATTATTTCAGATCTCAAAGAAACTCAAAGGTTTTGGGATTAAAATCCAGGACGGTGACAGTTTTATTAACCCAAATTCACACTGGCGTGCTCATAGTGCAAAAGAGATTCAAGTCACATCCTTCATTTGTAGCTCATTTCCAGCATATTTTCTTCATAGTCTATAATTTTAACAAGAAAAAAATGTTGCTTTTTTTCCCCCATTTCTACCTTTAACTTTTTAACATTGGAGATATTGACATTTCATTTTATAGCAGAAAAAGATACCTAAACCATGCTCAAGCAGAACATCAGCTAGTGGAAGCCAACCTCATTTGTACCTGTCCATGAGTCTATAGTGGAATCACTGTTGCTTTTTATTTGTGTTGATATGTAAAAAATGTAAAAATAAATGTATGAGAGGCTAAGCCATAAAAGGTTAACTAGAGACAATGCATCTCAGGACATGTTAAAGTCGTTTAAGTACTTTCTGCAGGGAGTAATTATTGTATTACTTTTTCAAAAGCTTATAGGTAATATGTAACAGATTACTTAATACAGATTACTTAATACACTGTTATTTCTGCATGAGGGGAACCCTCATGCAGAAATAATTGTGTAGGAAATGCAGATCAATAGTGCAAAATATACTGTAGATACATTTAATGTGGGTTTCACTATTTGCACTATTTACAAGCTCCTACAGCTTGTAAATAGACTGCAAACTGCTGTTGTGACCCATTGTAGAGCCAAAGCAGTAGATAGGTCATCATACTCTCAAATGTTTTAGTGAGTCTTTTTTCAAGCCACAACATGTAGTGAGAGCTCAATAAATTAGAGGGGTTTGTATCCAATAACTCAATCACAGTCGTTTATATTTTAAAATCTAATTCTATTGAATTAATAGATCTTTTTTCTGTGTCCTTTTAGATACACTAACAACCATGGCTGAATCACTTTGATACAAAAAAAAATCTACTTTAATGCCGGCATTTCATTTTTTTTTCATTAACTGGATCTAGATTATTATGAGATAAATCATAATTAGGCCATGTAATTTTTTTTAAGTTGTAGAACAGTTGCAGCGTGTCATTTTAGGTCAGGCCTTAAGAGTTAAATCATCTTTGGGAGTTTTTCCACTACAAGTATATTAATGAAAGAACTCTGTAGTCTGATAGAAAAGATTTCTTAAAGTAATAAATTAGTCTAAAGCGAATGTCGGCTTAATCAGGAATTTATAATTACAAATGCTGTCAAAACGTCTCAACAGCTGCTCTATTATTCACTCTCAGCATCAGCTTTAGTCTCTAAATGACATCAATGTTTCATTTCAATCTGTTTCTTTTTTTCAGCTGAAGGTAAACCTGACACAGACCATTAACAAATTAGTAATTATTTATAAGAGCAACGAGCTTTATCATAATTCATAAAAGGAAAACTACTGGTGTAATTAATTAGAGGCTGCATTTAATTCTTGTGTTCCATGTCAAATAAGATAGAGTTAGTTTTGAATTTCAAAAGGACAATGGTGGAATGGAAAGGCCAGAAATATAATGCATCCAAATGACTTTGCACACATCAGAGACATATTGAACACTGTGGGAGTGCCTGAAAAAACAGTTAGCTGTGAGGTACCACCAGTTAGAGCTATAGCATTCTTCTTCCCTGAATGTCTAATCATTCTGCAAACTTTCTAAAATGATATAACTGCTCCTTGTCATCTATTTTTTTTCCTGCTGCACCAATTTAATTCTCCTTCCTCATTCCTGCTTCTATCATCCCTCTTTCTCTTTCTTTTTCTCTTTTTTTGGCCATGAAGAGTCAACCAAACACTTATCCGTAGACTTTGCCAATTGCTCTCAGAAGAACTGAAGAAGCTTCTCGGATGAGAACTGATACATCTTCAAGGAACCTTAAAGAAATACAGACGCTTCTACTTGCAACTTGTAGGGGATTCTCAGTGATATAACACCCACTCTGATATGACATAATAGTGGAAATAGTGGAAATGACACGGTAGTAAGATTGTTCAAATTTGAGTATATAAATCAGCTTTTGGCTGTAGACTATTTCGCTGACATTTTAGTCCCTCAAACCATTTAATACAACAAGCCTCATTCACTCGTTCATACAAGCAGCTCATCTATACTTAAGTGCTTTTTATCTAGCATTCGCACACACATTCCTACTCCGATGGATGCGGTCAGAGAACAACTTGGGGTTAGTTGACCCAAGGATATTTGGCATGCAGACTACAGGGAGTGCAGAATTATTAGGCAAGTTGTATTTTTGAGGAATAATTTTATTATTGAACAACAACCATGTTCTCAATGAACCCAAAAAACTCATTAATATCAAAGCTGAATGTTTTTGGAAGTAGTTTTTAGTTTGTTTTTAGTTTTAGCTATTTTAGGGGGATATCTGTGTGTGCAGGTGACTATTACTGTGCATAATTATTAGGCAACTTAACAAAAAACAAATATATACCCATTTCAATTATTTATTTTTACCAGTGAAACCAATATAACATCTCCACATTCACAAATATACATTTCTGACATTCAAAAACAAAACAAAAACAAATCAGCGACCAATATAGCCACCTTTCTTTGCAAGGACACTCAAAAGCCTGCCATCCATGGATTCTGTCAGTGTTTTGATCTGTTCACCATCAACATTGCGTGCAGCAGCAACCACAGCCTCCCAGACACTGTTCAGAGAGGTGTACTGTTTTCCCTCCTTGTAAATCTCACATTTGATGATGGACCACAGGTTCTCAATGGGGTTCAGATCAGGTGAACAAGGAGGCCATGTCATTAGTTTTTCTTCTTTTATACCCTTTCTTGCCAGCCACGCTGTGGAGTACTTGGACGCGTGTGATGGAGCATTGTCCTGCATGAAAATCATGTTTTTCTTGAAGGATGCAGACTTCTTCCTGTACCACTGCTTGAAGAAGGTGTCTTCCAGAAACTGGCAGTAGGACTGGGAGTTGAGCTTGACTCCATCCTCAACCCGAAAAGGCCCCACAAGCTCATCTTTGATGATACCAGCCCAAACCAGTACTCCACCTCCACCTTGCTGGCGTCTGAGTCGGACTGGAGCTCTCTGCCCTTTACCAATCCAGCCACGGGCCCATCCATCTGGCCCATCAAGACTCACTCTCATTTCATCAGTCCATAAAACCTTAGAAAAACCAGTCTTGAGATATTTCTTGGCCCAGTCTTGACGTTTCAGCTTGTGTGTCTTGTTCAGTGGTGGTCGTCTTTCAGCCTTTCTTACCTTGGCCATGTCTCTGAGTATTGCACACCTTGTGCTTTTGGGCACTCCAGTGATGTTGCAGCTCTGAAATATGGCCAAACTGGTGGCAAGTGGCATCTTGGCAGCTGCACGCTTGACTTTTCTCAGTTCATGGGCAGTTATTTTGCGCCTTGGTTTTTCCACACGCTTCTTGCGACCCTGTTGACTATTTTGAATGAAACGCTTGATTGTTCGATGATCACGCTTCAGAAGCTTTGCAATTTTGAGACTGCTGCATCCCTCTGCAAGATATCTCACTATTTTTGACTTTTCTGAGCCTGTCAAGTCCTTCTTTTGACCC